ATAAAGCTCGAAATTTTGGAGATTTTCCATCGAAATCTTTTAAAGTTTGAATCTTTATTCGCTTATAAAAAGAAAGTTTGAATCTTTATTATTTATACGAGTGTGAAATTTGGTGGGCGTGCAGTTCAACAACAGCTTCACATACTGTCATCATCAACATCAATTAAAAACGGCCAGTCAGACAAGAAGCATACTAGGTCAGTTTCAGATCTGAGTGATCCTGCTTCAACTCCACGCAACTTTGAAGACTCAAGAAAGAATGCCCTTCTTTATACCCATGTTATAGCCTTCACTTTGTATGAACTCGAGACTATTACCAAGAGCTTTCGTTCTGATTACATTCTTGGGGAAGGAGGGTTTGGAACGGTTTATAAAGGCTACATTGATGAGAATGTCAGGGTTGGCCTGAAATCTATTCCAGTTGCTGTCAAGGTTCTAAATAGAGAGGGTCTTCAAGGCCACCGTGAATGGCTTGTATGTCTCTGCTTAACGTGCATTGACCTTGCCCAACCCAACCTCCTTTTACTTCATCTCACTTTCATGTCTTTCCTGCTTATTGAATAGTGCTTGTTTCTTTTTTGTTGTGTTTACTAGACGGAAGTGAACTTTCTGGGGCAGCTAAGGCATCCTAATTTGGTGAAGTTGATTGGGTATTGTTGTGAGGATGATCATAGGTTGCTTGTTTATGAGTTTATGTTCCGAGGAAGCCTTGAGAATCATCTATTTCGAAGTATGTATTTTTTTGCCATTTGTTCCTCTTCAATTATTGTGTTTCTTGTTACCAATTACTATCTTTAATGCTAATTATTGCTCCGTCTTGACTGAAAAGGGTATTGCTGCTGCTGTAAATGACAATATGGTATTATTGACTTTTGGTGCTATCATCAACGATTACTTTTTTTTTTTTTTGCTAAAAGATGCTTTCTTTGCCTTCTCTTGTTTCTTTTGATGTTTCACGGAAATTAGTTGCAAGCATAATTTCTGCTGCCATAGCACTTGCATTCGAGATATGGCTGCTTTTGTAATGAAAAATTTACTCATAGTTCTGGCACCTTTGATGTGTTCCAATTCAAGAATGATAAGCATCGGTCCCGTGGTTGTCTGTGAAATACATGAGTTGTTTGTTCTATTCATCGACTGACAACAGTTATTTGAAATGGCATCAAACATAAATTTACTACTCTGAGGATATGCTGCTATATTTTTTTTAGCATTCCAATTAGGTTCATTAACTAGATTTATTGCTGTATGGGAGGTTCTCTCATTGAAGAGTTCTGAATCTGATGTGTTATAGAACTTTCCTGTGTTTTGATTTTTTTAGGGAATGTGATGTTAATTGTTTCAGAAATTATATCGGTTTAGATTTTCAATTCCTTGGGTGGTGTTTCTCCTTTGGGAAAAGATACAAGACTCATCAAAAATTATATACCATAAGGATGAATAGATTGTACTATACTGTGATTGATGAAACTACATAGATGATCTATCATTTTGTATAATCTTTAATTTAGCAATTTTATATTGTGATTATTAGTGCCAAATGGATTGTACTTGTTAGTTCTATTGAGAACATATACACGACCTTGCTTAGCATTAGAATCTGTAACCTCAATGTTTTGTTAACTTGAGTTGCTATGAACTTTTCCGAGGAATCCAGAAGCAACAGTTCCATTATCTTGGGCCACAAGAATGATGATTGCTCTTGGAGCTGCTAAAGGCCTTGCTTTTCTTCACAATGCAGAAAGGCCAGTTATATATCGGGACTTCAAAACTTCCAATATATTACTGGACTCTGTAAGTGGGGTTTCTTATATGTCATTTATCTGAGATTTCTTGTTTGGTTTTCTTGATACAGGACGGTCCCTCCATGTTACCTGTGCTAATACTCGTTACCAATGCATTCACAGGATTACACAGCCAAGCTCTCTGATTTTGGGCTTGCAAAAGCTGGACCCCAAGGTGATGAGACTCATGTATCAACTCGAGTGATGGGTACTTATGGTTATGCTGCTCCTGAATATGTAATGACTGGTACGAACCTCTACAATCTCTAAAATTCTTGAGGCTCAGTGTTATTTATTCTAAGGTTTGGTAAGGAGAAAAATCAGAGGAAGCCTAAACTAGGAATTGATCAAGCAGTGTTTCTGTATGTATGGAGAAAAATCAGTTCTAAGGGTTGCCTGGCAACGACTAGTTAATTAAGGAATTGGGTGGCAATGTTGGATAACCTGATATAAGCATCATTGAGAAATATATGGTTTCTCACTTGGATCTCATAAGGTTATGATGTAGATTTTCATTTTAGCTGAATAAAAGAATTGGAAAAATAAGGGTGGCATATCAAACATCTGACAATTTAAAATGCTTGAAGTTTGATGATGCTACCATGTGCCTGACAATGCAAAATTATTTACGAGCATTCAAAATCCCTATTCAATGATGCAAAAATCACCCAAGTACTTGCAATGTTAGTCTTGTAATAATAAACAATATAAAAGGAAACCTGTATGACCACGTGTTCAAACCTGTATTGAATGGACAAGGATTCTGGTAGGTTGACAGCCAGAGTAAATTATTTATATCGACAGAAGCTAGAATGAACATGTCATATTCTTTTGATATTGATTTCAAGGGGAAAATGCTCAACACAGGCAACCACAGTTCTTTCCCAGAATCAATGTAGTGTGGAATCTTTGGAGCAGTTGTAATTCCCAATCTTCTGCTTCCTTAATACTGAGAAGTAACTTGCTTATTGACAACCACCTACTTTCTCTGCCATTTTTTTGATTTTGAAGTCACTTTTCACACGATCCACATCTTAAATTTGTTGTTTATGGTTTATGCTATGATGAATCAGTGATTGCTATGCATGCATGTGCCTAATTTCATGGACACTGCAGGGGTGCCAAATTGCCTTTGTGTAAAAGCATGTATCCGCGCTTGCTTTTCTTAAAAAGTTTATATGGCATGCAGGCCACCTGACTGCAAGAAGCGACGTATACAGTTTTGGAGTAGTTCTTCTGGAACTATTGACAGGAAGGAAGTCAGTTGACAAGACCAGACCCGGCAAGGAGCAGAGCTTGGTGGATTGGGCCCGTCCAAAATTGAACGACAAGAGAAAGTTGCTGCAAATAATTGACCCAAGACTGGAGAATCAGTACTCTGTGAGGGCAGCACAGAAAGCCTGCAGCCTGGCATACTACTGTCTGAGCCAGAATCCAAAGGCGAGGCCCCTGATGAGTGATGTAGTTGAAACTTTGGAACCTCTACAATGTAGCAATGATGGCGCCAATGGAGTTTCATCATCGTCACTGACCCCAACCCTAACAGGTAGTGCCAGTGCTTTTGCAATGGGCGGGGTCCCTGATTACCGGATGCGGAGATTCACCAACGATGTTGTTCCTGGTTCTAGCTGTCGTTCTCCCAATCCAAATTGCTCTCCTGGTGGCCCTGCAGCGTGCAGGGTCAGATGAGCGATATCACCTTCTATGTATTTGGTGTGCCATTCCGTCCCCCTCCATCTTTCTAAATGACAACTTCTGATTGTTAAGTCGTGAGTGAATTTGCTGCTGTTTGTACTTGGTGTACATTCTATCATCTTGACCCCCAGCCAGCTGTTAGTTGCTGCTAGCTAACTTGTTGCTCGTATCAATTTTCTAGCAAAGTTTGCACAGCAATGAGAATTGCCAAATGAAAGCAGTTTTTCTTATTTAGGAGACATCTAGCTTTGCGTTATGTTCTACCTGTGTGTTGAGGAAGGCATGTTAGAGGAAATATCCTCGAGTTCATGTACATTTAATTAAGAGTCCCTTCATACCGAACTGTAACTTGATTAATAATGTCATGATTTTCCCTCTCGGATTGTTTGCATTTGGATGCGTAAGCAGTTAACGGATGCCGAGGAGAACCACCGAGCATTCTCACTTGAGCTGGTAGGGGGGCTGATAATATGAATTAATTAGCCTCGCAGTCCGGGCATTATTCCGTTCATGCATTTGCATGGTCAAAAGAAGGTAATTGTTCTTTTATTTTTTTTTAATATTTTTTATATTAAACAATAATATAATAGTATGGTGAGGGAGGTTGACACACGCAAAGACACAAAGAAAATATTATTGACTTGTGTTTTAATATAATAAATAATATATATAATATATATCTTATATTTAGGTTTCCAGCACTCACTCCATCTCATTCCTAATTTCCCAAACTTTTTTCTCTCTCTTTCTTCCACTCAGTATCCAAAAGTTTTTTTTATTTTTTTTGAGCTGTTGTTGCTGTCTCTTTCCCTATCTTCAAGTCCAATTAAATAAGTAATCTTTTTTATTTTAGATAAATTTCTTTTATTTTTTTATTTATTTTTTTATCTAATTTTAATTTTATTTTTTATAATTAGTTATTGAAAATATTAAGGTTTATAATAATTTAGGGTTTTGATATATATGATGTTTTGAATCAAATAAGGTGAATTATAGATACTTGCAAGATTTTGAACAATACACATTGATTTAATTATTTTGAATTATTTAAAAGTTATATAATTTTTAATTGAATTGATTACTGTATGAAATTAAAAATTTTTCATGAGAAAAGCAAATAAATATTTCAATTATTATTAGTGAGTAAAGATTGATATTTATAAAATTGAAATTATTTTAGCTTGAGATTAATCCTTTTTATGATAATTTTTTTGTGCCTTCCTATAAAATAATCAGGATAAATAATTAAATATTATATATATATATATATATATTTTGTTTTTATCAGATAATTTATGTTTTGCTGGAGCCCGGAGAAGAATTAAAACATACATGCAATCCTGATTTTAATCGGTACAGGTTAGTTTTTTTTTTAAAAAAAAAACTATCTTTTTGTAAATTTTTTTATTTTAAAATTATTTTTAAATTAATTTTGCATAATATGAGTTAGTATTTTTGTTTTAAATTAATTTTTAATATAATATAGGATTTATTAATAATTTAACTTTTCATTTAAAAAACTCTGAATCCGCGACTGCTCCGCACCACACATAATTTGATTCCTCAATTCAACTCTCCTCTCCGTCTATGCATGTATGTATGTACATAAGCAGCTTTTGCATGCCTCCTCTCTGGCTTGTCAGCCGACATATATTATTGAGATGAATTATTCCACGAAACTAGCAGTATTAGTATCAGCAATCCTTTTGTTGATCATTAGTCCAGCCGGTAAGTTGGTTTCTGAGCAAGGTTTTCAATCTTCATCTTGACTCACTATGTATAGACATGGAGTTGATTAATCTTTCTAAGTAACTAATATATTTGCAGTTGAGGCTTCTCCAGTAAACACATCGTTAAGTTCTACCGCAGGAGAATTCCGGCCTATGGAGGCAGCTGAGTACAGGGTAATTGGAAGAAAGGGAGATGATGATTTGTGGAGAAGAAGGCTAGCACCTTTCCAGCTGTGTTTGCTATGCAAGTGCTGTGCTGGGGCAGCAACCACCACCTGCGCCACCATGTCTTGCTGCTTCGGAATCGATTGCCGACTTCCTAACAAGCCTTATGGGGTTTGTGCTTTTGTACCCAAGACCTGTAATTGTACCTCTTGCGCTACTGTCTAGCTACTACTGCTTTGCCATATATATAAATTTAACCATCTTCAATTAATTGATATGTATTATACATCAAAACCTTATTAATTTACTCCATGGCTTACTTTAAGTAGACACCAGTCATCCCTTGCTTGAAATGAATTCAGAATCATTTTGGTCTGCACAAATCTTCATGTTTTTAATTGGTTTCACGCATGGATATATCTATATATATATATATATGGGATTTCATAGTTAAGAGAATAATAGTATTTGTTTTGTTGTGGTTAAAAAATACAGAATCTGTAAGAGATATTGGGAAGAAAACAATCATACTGGACCACTATAAAAATAGTATATAATTATTTAAATTACTGTAATTTTCCTGCAATTAATCAATGGTCCCTAAGACAATTCCTGGGTTAATTAATTTTTAAGGAAAAAAGGGTTGCGTGATGTGATATTAGGATGAAGATGCGATGATGGTAACAGGGAGACTAATGCGAGAGAGAGAGAGAGAGAGAGAGAGGAAAAAAAAATAAAAAAAAATGAAAATAAAAATGGTTGGTCCTCATTTTGCCGCACCTGCAACATCTAAGTGCTCTGATTCGTACGTACGTTGGAAAACAATTCACAGGCGTATATAGTGGGGGGTTGCTTTCGATCATTTTCGTACCAAGCCCCACTACAGTACAAGGAGGATAAACCCTAATGTAACTGCAACTATTTTTGGCTGTCATTTTGTTTGTCGTCTTCTATATATTGAAGTTTCATTGCTAATTAACCCTATCGTCGTCATCATCAGAAGGAGAGAGAGAGAGAGAGATTCAAAATTGCATAATTGCGTAATTGTGTATCGAAATACTCAGAAACTCATATTCATAAGCATATTAAATTTTAAAATATTATCAATAATCATCTTGTTCTCTAAAATAAATTGATGCTAAGGTAAGGATTTTATCCCACCAAAAAGTATTCAAAGACTCTAAGAGTATCCATTCTCAAAACTCTCTATCCATTAAAATTCAACACAGAAAACCAGCCAAATAAGATTAAAATCGAATACCAATTAACATGCATGGTGTTTGAAAGCCATAGAATTGAAATCAATAATTATGAGATTGGTTTTAAAGAGTTAAGAAAATGAAAAATCAAACTCCAACCCACATCCTATTTGCTGTAGCAACTCTAAGAATTAATTTCGAAAATTATATTTCCCAAGTATATGCTCAGTAATCAACATGTTTAGGATTTTAATTAGACAAACACGCACTTAATTAATTAGAAAGGACGGAGGAGAATTAATTAGCATCCATTACACATATGTGTGTGGTTAATTAGAGAAAGTAAGAGGGGAGTGAGTGATCATGTATTGGGACGACGAGTGTGTCGAACTAATAGTAATAGCTGCTCTTATGTATCGCTACTTTATACTCTTATCCATTAGAAACGATCGAATTGAATTTTAGTCAGTCAATGGCGGTGAATCATGCATCCGCATGCATACCTGTATAGAATTGCTTTACGAATGGATTTTTTGAGAAGTCGTATGTCTGGAAAAGCACTTGCTCAAGCTTACTCACTTGAAAACCACGTAGGTACTAGTGCTTATCCTAGCCCCATCCATCCCCACGTTTGGCGAAAGTCAGAGGAAAAGGAGGGGATATATAGAACTTATGAAAAGCTAGCTAATTCATAATGTGTCGATCTCTTAAGAGTTGAGATGATGAGATTATCGGATTGACACCTGCTCTTTCTTATCTTATGCCAAAAATATTATTATGAGATGCGAACCTCACCACAGCAATTCCTTGCTGAGACCGGCGTGGCCCACTATATATATAAATTTGAATTAAAAAAATAAAATATTATTACGAGATGCGAAGCTCACCACAATAATTTTTTATTATTTTAATAAATTTTTAAAAAATAAATTATTAATAAATTATTTTTCAACTCATTTTTTATAACATAACTAAATGTTGAAAAAAAAATTTCAATTTATTTTTTATTATACTATCAAATATTAAAAAATAATTTATTTTTTAAAAATTTACTTTAAAAAAAATTATTTTTCAATAAATAAATAAAATTTGAATTGGATGCTGATAAATTAATGGGATTTTAACAAGGGTGATGGATGTGATTACCTAACAAGCACATACCACCTAATAATTTAGTCTGTAATAATCTATCAAGTAAACTAATATAAATTATGATCATTTAGGCAAGACCCCTTGTACATATTAATCCAACAAGAGCTGCCTTAGCAGCTAGGTCACTTGCATAAAAAATTTTTATCC